AATGTGAGGTGTGTGTGTGGCAGAGGATGCGTGTGTGGGGGTGTGTGTGTGTGTGTATGTGTGTGTGTGTGTGGTATATTGAGTGTGCGTGAACAACTGAATCACAGCCCTTCCCCAGTAAGCCGTACTCTGGCTCCTGTTGTTCTATTTTTTTCTGTTTATGTCTGTCCTGACCCCACTGGTGGCCTCATTCCCTAGGGGATCCAGCCCAATCCAAGTGGCAGTGACACTGGGGAGAGGTCAGCTGGCCCCGGCCCTTGACCAGTTTGTCTCCCCCTCCCCTTTCATCCCCTGGAGGTGGTCCTGGCCCACCCCATGAGAGTGACACCTGCAAGGAGATTACACCTGACCCAACTACTGTGTCCCCAGAAGCCAGCCTCTGTGGACACCCTGCCCAACCTGCTCTGTGGCCCTCTGTGGGTATCAGACAGTGGCTCAAACTGGAGTGAGGTGTGGGCCACCATCCCCACATCAGACAACCTGGAACTGGTGCTGCACCGGCAGGCAAGCAACCAGATACGTCCCCTGTCCACCGGGTCATGCTGGGGGTCTGCCTGTTCCTGCAGCCCACAGCCTCAGGCCCACATGCCCAGAGAGCCTGGGCCTAGCCACCCAGGACCAATCCCTTGCAGGTGGCTCACATTACCCTGGGGCTTCAGTTTGCCAGCCACCCAGAATCATTCCTCTGTTGCCCACATGCAGGCAATGGTATTTAGTGATGCCAGGACTCCAAAGGGTGGAGTGCTGACTCTTTTCTCCTTTGCTTCAGGACAGCAGGCTGCCAAGCACCATCCCCCTTTCCGGCTGCACAGTGAGTGTGCCAGACCTGGCAGAGAGGCTGGACGCTGGGCACGTGTGGCAGCTGCAGCAGGCCCAGCAGTCCTTGTACCTGAGTGCCCCATCGGCTGAGCTGCAGCAGCAGTGGCTAGAGGTCCTGAACATGGCTGCCTGCAGGGACCTGACCCAGGCCAGCCCAGGAACCCCAAAGTCCCAGGCTCCAGCAGCCCCGTGAGCTAAATCTTGGCCGCCACGGCAGGGCCTGTGCTCTCACCTGGGAAGTGGCCATGGAGGCCACATGTAAATGTGAAGAGTACCCTGACTACTGAGGGGCCATCATCCCTCAGGACACTTGGCCCTGGAGGGTCCCTCTGCTTCAGAGATGAAGAAACTGGGGCGCAGAAAGGGGTGGCCACCTGTCCAGGATCACCTAACACATCTGAGGCCTCTGCCCTCAGGCTCAGCAGTGTGGCTTGGCATGGGATACAGGGCAACTGCCAAGTAAACCCTGTCTGTGTGGCTGTGTGGGGGCTCTGGAAAGCAGAAGGAGTTTCGCGGATGGTGCTTAGGGACACCTCATGGACGTCTGAAGTCTTGCCATCCCTCCAGCCACTGTCCTTTTGTCTACACTGTCTACACTGCATGAGCTGAGCCACGACCAGCCACCCAACTCCACCTCCACCTCTGCCAACTCCTGGCTGCCAGACACCCCACTACCCCCATGTTGCCTTGCAGCCCACCATACTGTGCAAAGCTACTCACAGGAGAGGGTGAGTGGTGAGCCTGGACCAACCAAGTGGGACTTGAGATTCCTGAATAACCTCACTGAGAAACTCCATGGGAGGCCCACACCAGGGTCACATGAGGGCCTGAGAGTTGTGCCTGTCTCCTCTGCTGGGTGGCCGGCAATGCCTCTCTGTGTAAATAAACATTGGTAGCCAACAGGTGGGCACAGTCTTGTGGTGGGGCTCCCATAGGTGGGTCGACTGGTAGTTGAGTGGGGGATGAGGGTGACAGACGGGCACAGTGACTCTGGCCTGTGGAGTGTTAAGTCCAAACACCTGTGAAGGTCCCAGGATGAAAGGGCATCTGATGGCTGGGCCTCAGACCAGATGCGACACCTGGAGAACTGCTCTGCATCTCTGGTCGGTCATGCTAGTGAGATAGACAGGGCCATGTATCCTATAGAAACAGCATAAGGTTCACAAAGAAGTTAGGAAGGTCATGGGGTGAGGGTGAGAGGGCTGTGGTGCTATTTGCATCAGAGCCCAGAGGCCTCAGGAGAGAGAGGAGGAATTTAGGGATTGATGACCAAATGGTGTCCAGTCCCTAGAGACCCCCATTTCTCTAACATCTACATGGCACCCTAGGGGGATGCCTGTCACTGCCTAACCATGGTCAGAGTCTCAGAACACTTACCTGAGGAATTGAGAGGGCCAGCATAGGAGCTAGAAATGGGCTTCTGGTCATTAGTGAGTTGGGAGGAGGGCACAGGTGAGGTAGGGGCCCAGGTAAGATAGGCAGGACACAGATGAGGTGGGCAGAGCTTATAGGCAGGACACAGATGAGGTGGGCAGAGCTTAAATGAGCTTATGCTTGAGCCAGTGCTACCTACCTAGCTATGTTTGGATGCTGTTGCAGCTCTCTACCTGCTGTACATCTGAGCCTCAGTCCTGAGTCTGTGAGCATTCGTCACCCTGCAGTGGGTATTCTGGCCCCAGTTGACATCAAGGACTTGCTCAGCAAGAGTGGGGAGGCCAGCCCCTTCCAGCCTGCATGGGTCCCTGGCCAAGATTCTGCAAATACAGGAAACACAACAAAGCCCCACACAGATTGGGGCAGGGACAGTGGGTGACTGAGGCCCACACTATGCCAATCTCACTATAACCCCAGGATGTTCTCACTTAACAGCTAAGGATACTGAGTCACAGAGAGGAGGCCATGAGAGTCCCACAGCTCCAGACTGGGAAGCCAAAATTAACCCACTGGGCATGGCAGCACTTGGCTTGGGTTTGGGAGGTAACATGGGCACCACTACCGGAGGTCCTCATGGCAGGTCTCCCAGCAAGCTCTCAGCACCAGAGCAGCCTGCTCATTTCCCCCACCCCCACCACCATGCCATGCATGCAATGATCTCAGGGGAATGTTTTCCTCCAGGACATGGGAGGGCAGATGGGTGAGGTCTCCTACCCCCATAGTTCTGGATCCACCAGAATGTTTTATTCCCTCAAAGTCCATAGAGTCTGTCCCACCTGGGGCCAGCCTTAAGGGGAGAGAGGGTTGGTCAAGAGGCATTCCCATGGGAAACATCTTCAGGGGCTGTGACTATAGCAGGATGAGGAAAGATGCCTTTCTACCAATTTTGGACAGTGCTGGGCCCTGAGCTGCCATGGATCTTGTGGGGAGACATTAAGAAGGAACTGTGTAGCCTCAAGAAATAGTGCCTGGGTTTGGGAGGAATAGAAGCAGGGAAGGGGAAAGAGGTACAACAGGGGCCAGAGGTCCCTGGGAGTTCCCTCTCCCCAGGACTTCCCAAGGCAGGTGTCCCAAGAACAGTGCCCAGGCCAGAGCAGGACCATCAAAGTCTGGAAGGATCAGTGGGAGGAGCACTGCAGGCTAGGGGAGGGCAGGGCCTCGAGTGGGGTCTCCACAGGGCCTCTCCTTTGGCATTGCTCTAGGGAGCAGGAGCCACAGGGGAAGAAGGGACTGTGAGTACTGGGATAGGCGTGGGGCTGCAATGGGGATGGCCGAAGCTGAGTTGGAAACAGGGCCCCACGTCCACAGTGAGTGTTGACACAGACACTTGCAGTGGGCAACCAGAGGCTGGCACCAGTTGTTCCCACTCAGGGACCTGTGTGGCTGGAGCCACACAGTTTTCCAAGAGATGAAAGAAATGCAGATGTTCTTATGAAATATCCTGATGAATATTAGCAACTATTTCAGAATGTGAAATCTTGGGGTGAGCTGCCAGTACGCAGCTAGGAAGTAGAAACAGCCAAGATCTGAACTCATTTTGGCCACAGGCTGTCATCCTCACTTTTTCCAGACGTGGAAGCTGAGGCCCAGAGGGGTAGCAAAGGGCTTCAGCCACAAAAACCTCTGTGCTGCACCCCTTGTGAGCTGGCCTTCCTAGTCTGTCTCCAGGGACCCCTGGCTGAAGGTATCTGCCCAAAACAGGGCTGTGAGGATCAGGCTGCCTACCAGGGGGCTCTACACACTGCCCACCCCATCAGGGCTCACTTGTGCTGCACTCACAGGGGTCTGGGACCTGAGGCAGGGGTCTTCTGTGCTCCAAGGGGCTGCTGCCTGCCCAGCCTGCAGGCCAGAGTATCCTGGTAGCAGACCCAGGGGCTGTGTTTAGAGCATGGTGCACACCTGAGCGGAAGAGTTTCCATAGGAGCTAGAGAAAAAAGAAAGGAGAAAATGGGTCAATGAGTGAATGGGGGCTTTTTGGTAGAGGTTGGTGATTGGAGCCCAGGCCCCTACTGTAGGTTCCAGGGGGCTGCTGACTGCTCTGCCAGGGGAAAACATATTCTTACTAGGCTATCCATGTTCTCCGCAATCCCGAGAAGAGAAAGGAGCCAGTGTCCACACAGACTTGCCGTGGCCAGATGCCTGGCCCAGCCACACAGTGAAAAGAATTGCAACCCAGAGAGTATCTTAGCAGTACTGAAACTGAGGCCCAGAGAGGAATATACACTCGCCCAAGATCATACAATGAGTTAGGGACCCAGCAGGAGTCACTTATCCACTCTTCATTCATTTGTTCATGCAGCATCCACTGTTAGCACACTGCCTGTGTCAGGTACTGGTTGGCAGGCCACTTGGATTTCTGGGACTGAGAGGTCAAGCGACATCCATAGCCTCTGGCCCTGCCACACTTCTAGCCTCATTTTCTCCTACACTCCTTTCCCCACCCAGGTCACCAGGCTCAGGCTACTAGGCCTTCAGAACACACCAGCTCCTTTCCACCTCAGGGCCTATGCACATGCTGTCCCTTCACTCTTCCTGCAGGTCTTTGCAAGACTACTCAGTGCCACCTCCACAGGGACCCCTAATCCCTGTCTCTCTCCTTTGAGTTTGGATATTTACCTTCTTTTTAAACGTTTCCCCATCCAGAACAGAAGCTCTGAGGGCAGGATGCATCACCTACAACAATGCCCAGCACATAGAAGGTACTCAGTTAATATCTGCCAACAGATTTGTGCGGCCCCTGAGCACTTTGAATCTGGAATCTTCATTTTACAGATGGAGAAATTGAAACTCAGAGAGAGACGGTAGCTGCCTGTGGTCATAAAGGTCCAGTGCTCTCCTGACTCCCAGGGGTCCCCAGGTCTAAGGGACACAAAGTCAGTTCCTCCTCAAACAACTAGTCTCATTGCAGAGATCAGCACAATGAGACCCAGAAGGGCTGCTACACCTTAGAACACCAGCAAAGGGGCATTTGGATCTAGGTTGGTCTGACTTGCCTCTGTGGGCACCAGCATCCTCCGCCCTCTCAGGGAACAGCAGGCCTCCACTGTGCACATGAAGATCACAGGATCGGCCTCCTAAAGTCCCGGCTTACCCCAGGCCCCAGAGCCCAGACCTTAGGGGGCTCTACTCCTTGCCCATCCCCCAGCTACTTGAGGGGCCTCTCTCCTCCTGGGATCTGACAGGGCCTGGGAGTCCAAAGCTCTCTGCCAGTTCTAGTGCTGGGCATCCAGGGAGAAAGGAGGGCTCGCCTTGCTCCAGAGCTTCTTGGAATATGTTTGCAGACAGGCTTCCACTGGATAATTCCTCTGGGGGGACAGCTGTCAACCCTGAGTCCTGAGGGGCTCCAGGTGGTCCCTGGGGGTTCCAGGTAGACCTGAGGGGCTCCAAGTAGTTTCTGAGGGGTTCTAAGTGGTGCTGAGGAAGCCTGATGCTCCCTGTCGACACACTCTCTCCCACCACCACTGATTTCTCATTTACAAGGGGGAAACCTGAAGGCTGGAGGTGGCAGGGTATCAAGGAGGGCAGGCTTGGGGACAAGCCCCACCTTGCATTCTGCACATTCCTTCCTGAGAAGCTTGCCTCCCACCCTCCTTGCTGACTGGATGGACTTCTAGGCTCCATGCCCCGCTCATAGATGCAAAGATTTGATGCAGGCCCTGCAGCCTGGGAAGGCCTGGTGGTCTCTCAGCACTGGTGCCACCTCTAACTTGCAGGTTCCTTTTCCTGGAAGCCCAAGTATGCTCAGGCTCCTGCCTGCTAGGCCTCAGTGGCAGTGTCCTGGGGGTCCTTGAGGATGGTGACACACACATGCTTTTCCCTCAGCTCTGTCCCACACTCCCGATGCCCACATCTTGCCCCCTTCCCACCCCATGCTGGATCCAAGCTGGACTTGGCTCTCTCCAACCAGCAGGGCCATGGACATAGGCTGTGCCTGGGGAATTTCCTGCAGAGGAGAAGGGCTGGCAGTTGGAGTGGGTTACTTGGCTCCCAGGATCTAGGAAAAGGAAGATGTGCAAGAAAAGTACCCCACTTCAGCCTCTTGCGTCACAGATCACTGGCCAGCTCTCCAACTCCCTGTGCTGGGACTGCTCTAAGATTCCTGTGTAACCCAAGACAACCCCGAGACACAGGGAGTAGTGGGGGCTAGCATTGCTTTCCTCAGGGGAGCCATCCTGGAACCAGATGGAAGAGTCCCCGAGGGGCCCAAACCAGGACAGGTGAGCAGAAGCAGAAGGAAAACCATCTCTGACTTCACCTGAAGCAGGTGTGTGAGAATAAAGCACATGTGGAGTCAGATTTCCTGTTTACTGCCCACTCCTAGCCAACATTTGCAGGGACCAACCTACATCCTCCAAACTGTCCTGCCTTGGTGCTATCTCCCCATCTGAATCCATGCTGGCAGTATCTCTGAAAGGAACAAAACCCTTTCTCCGCTGCCAGGGCTAGGACTGCCTGGAAA